CATTTGCTCTTAGTCATTGCTTATAATGAGCTGACTAAATGTATCGAATGCAACAGGAGAAAAGTGACAACACAAAGCTGCGGCGCTTTTGGAAGTTCCCCACAAGCATCTTTCCCGTTCACGTCTCCTCTTATTAAGACGAAAGCTGTGAAGGTGTACGTCAGGTTTTTTGTTTCCTTTCCACTGTTACAACCAGATTTTGGATGGTTTGCATAGTGTGGGTTGTTTGAAACAGCACCTTTTATAACGATAGCTGTGGAGTGCAACAAATTCAATCAGGTTTTCACAGATCTAAAGTGCATGAAGTGTGCAAAGGTACTGGAGACCTTCCGAGGGCAAAATATGTATAGAGCAGGGCGTTTAAAGCATATTAAGGCCAACAAGTTGATATGGTCCTGCATACTTTTTACAGCAGCAGGCAATTTTCCATATCTGCGTGCTATCAAAAGCCCTCCACGAAATAACGAGAGCTGGAGGGCAAATAGACCAACGTTAAGTGCTTGCACACCTAAATCAGTCATCTCTCTGTTTCTAAGTTCAGCACGGTGGAACAAAAAGCGAGGACATTTTGTTATTACTGCTTTCAAAGTCATTACATAAAATATATTTTGTTAATTTGTGCTAAACTTTGAGCACTCAGTTTATCTCAATGCTTTTTCCGTTCTTTGCCAGATAAGAGACTTGGATGCTTAGGGGCCGATAAACTGCGTAAGCGTGGAAGTTGTATAATCAATAGAAGCTGGTTAAAAGTTGGCTGGAGCAGCCATCCTGTCTGCAGGACACGTGCCCTCCCTCGTTTGTTGCGTTGTCTTTTCCATAACTGACATTTTGGCTTTTATGGTACAACTTGGTGCGTCTTACTGCCAGAAAAATCGATACGAGACGTACTAAAAGAAAAACTCCTGCCTAACTATTGTAAAAAGATTCTAAATCTCCTATTCAGGTGGATAAAAGGAGGATTAATAGAGATGGAGTAAAACAACAAGGCTGTCAAGAACAGCCCTGCGGCTAAATGCAGCAAGTTAACTAAATTGAAAGAGCCGTGGCTGAATGGCTGTAGCTTGAAGGCATATGTCAAGTGACAACAAACCTGAACTGGAAAGGGCATTCGGTGTATTCTCCGTGTTTACGATTCTTTTAAAAGTTTCTTTTTCCTCTCTAATCTTTATGGAGCATTTTGGGGAGCCACAAATCTCAATAGCAGCTTGTAACCACAGTATGGAAGGCGGGGCCGATCACGAGCGCAGAAGCCTGATTACAGCACATCATTTGGACAACAACTGCTGCTCTGAGGTTTGGCAAAAAAACACTGAGCTTCTTGACACACTACAAGGAAAAGGAGGGAAGTTTTAAGCGCATGTGCACGTGCTGCTGGTTTACTAATTGCTTCCATGTGTACGCCACGATCCAAACACAACAACATTCAGAGATCTCTTTCGCTATAGAGTATTTGACTTGACAAGGCAAAGAAAGGCAGAAATTACCACGCTCTAGAAGAAGGGAAGTTCACAATCTCAGCATCAACAACACTGCACACACACACAGACACATTATCTGCCGTGCCGTGTTTCTCGTGCACTTTCTTTAACATGCACTTCAATACACAGATAAGATGTACAGTTGTGCAGATCGTGCCTCATTTAGATCTGGGCCAACGCGGCGGGGCCCGTGGTGAAGCAGACATCTTGAGGCTGAGTGATGGGAATGTCAGGATTTGCATTTAAATTGGCGCCATTGTGCGTGCGTGGTAGGGTGTATTCATAGGATGTGAAAGGGTTCTTTGCAGCCAGATATGATGATGGTCTGAGCATGATTACAGAAGATCACTCTCCTCATGTTAATCGAGCTGGTAAATGTCCAGCCTATTTGTGTCGTGTGCGACTGCGCCGGCGCGCTTGTTTTGTTTCATGACACAAAGCACAGAGAAGAAAAGATAAGCAGATGCAGTAGATGTGAGATGTGTGCATGGCTGCAGAGTTTGGTATTCATCGATTTGTTTGAACTCTGTCACATCCTCACTATGCTCCCATTGCTTCATCGTTTGTCAATTACTTGCATCGCATTTCAGTCACAGCCACGCGTGAGCCTCGTCTTCTGCAGGCCCAGAAAAAGAGGCGACTATGAAGGATTACAGGCTTAGAAGATGTTTGGATTTCATATGTACAAATACCATCCTGGCATTTATGAGGTTTTCAGGGACCGTCCCTGTTGACAATGTTGCTCATTTTGAATTAATATTGTTTTATCGTGCATAGAAGTCATTGTGG